GCTTCGACTTACTGCTTCCTCTCTCTCTTGCTTGGCAAAAAGCCACAACTTAAGTACTTGGCGTTCGCCAGACAAACTTTGCATAAATACGTTAACGCTTATAATTCTGCCGGAAGTAGAAAATAAGAAGTGATAGTAAAGATTTAAAATAAAATAAACGTTAGTAAAACTTAAGATCCTTACAATCTCATCTAATTTACCGTATTTATGCGAATCTAATGCGCCATCGAATCTAATGCGCATCCCCATTTTAAAACTTTAAATAATAAAAAAATTGTTTGTCGGCGAATGTAATGCGCATCAATGGTATGAGGAATTTATTGAATCTTATTTTATACAACAATGGATTTGTATATAAACTATCAATCAATGGTATGATAATTTTATTTAAATTTAGATACCATATTTTATACAACAATGGATTTATACATAAAGTAACAGAACATAGAATTAACCTATTAGTGGGCTATTGTCATGTGAAACAATCATTGTTAATTACCACTACCGTATATACGGTACATATCGTAAAGTATGAACATGAAATAAATGGTAACATTTCTATCTAGCTAACAGTTTCTACAATCAGTGATTAATAGTAAACGTCTTTATTCACTATTTTGATGATAACTTTTTTAGTCCCCTTCTCCGTAATGGTGTAGTTACGAGGCATATCAAACAACCAAATTGGCGTCTCGTCAGCGTTGCCAATTTGCCCCATTGAAAAATTCTTTTCCTTCCGAAGTGTGATGAGATACCGCTAAAATGTTAGTAGTTTTCCCTCAAAATCTGCAGGAAGCTTTTGGGATATTGTTGTACGGCGTCTTAGAAATAAGCCCATCCGCTTCATAAACCGATCCACCCATCGACGGCTAGCTTTAAACTCTCGTTTCGGTATTCCAAGAACTTCAGCCTCCTCTTTTGCTTTATTTCTTATAGTGTCGCTAGTCACAGGTTGTCCATTCTTCCTCCTTTCACGTACAAATTCCAAACTTTTTCTTCAATTTTAGGGTGTCTTCCTTTGCGAGGACCAGTGAATTTCTTTCTACTAGTTTTAGTTGCAAACAGTGCCAATTTCTGTTGCCGCCACAAGCGAACATTACTCTCAGCTACGTTTAACTCTCTCCCAGCCTTTCTATTGCCATTTCTTTCAGGATAAAGAATTACTTTACGTTTGAAAGTAGCGTCATATGACATTCTTCTCTGCTTGCCCTCCATTTCGTGACTACGTACTCTGCAGTATGCAATAATGTGTCAACGATAAATGTAACGGTAAATGTAGTCGAGAAATACAGTAATCCATTGTTACGATTTAAATTCGGTTGACGTCATCGGCGAACTTTGCACTCGAATCTAATGCGGCATCGAATCTAATGCGCACCCCAATTTTGAGTACTACATTTGGCCAAAAACGATGCGCATTAGATTCGCGTAAATACGGTAATTATTTTGAAGACGCAATTTTTTTTCCCAAAATGCTGTTAGGCGTTTGTTAAAATGCTTTTGGAAAATACAAATAGCTTCTTTTATAATAGTCATTCAAAATAGGCAAAATTTAATCTTGAATCGATTTTTGTTTTATTTAAAAAAAAAAAAAAAAAATACTGTGTGTGTTTCGAAAGATGCCGTGTCTCTAAATCTGGAAATACATAGAGCTTTTCTACGAAATTAATGTCAATATAGGATTGAATTCAAAAATGACGTGCTTCTGCTCCTTATAATACATGATTGTAATCAATTTGGCACTGAGTTGCAGTTATTTTATTTCTTTAATTCTTTCTATTCAGTTTGTCATTGAGTTGTTATTCAGTGTACTTCTTTGCAATCGGTTTGACACTGAGTTGTTATTCTTTGTCATTGAAAACGTAGTGTCGGTAACCTAATGTAGGAAATACTGCCTCGATTATCGGAGGGCGGTGTAATTAATTCAAAATGGCATCACGATAAAATTTCCATCCTTAAAGCGGTAAAAATTTCGATTTTGCGTTAAAGTGGCCTAATATGTGCTTCAATTTTTTTACCTGCTTTCATTACTGAAGTATGTTAAAGAATAATACCTTTTAAAGAAACCTACATTCTAAGTGAAAAAAAATATATTAATGGCAGTATGGTTCGCTTTAATAACTTAATAATGAAAAGTAACTAAAATTTTAATGTGCTATGCGCCGTGTTCACAAAATTCCTTTCCCGCTCATTATTTTCACAACCGTTGGTCGTAGATTTATATCGGGTTTTAACGAAAGTTGCCTGCGGCTTCAAATATCGTCGGCGCAAACAGTTCGCGTTGTCGTGTTTTGCGTATTTTGTCAAACGATTTTTGGCATTTGAAAGAAAATATTATGCTGTGAAATTTGTAAAAAAATATTTTTACCATTAAATACAAGGTGTCTGAAATAGAACTGTCATGCTACCAGATTAGAACCATCATTTACTTCCAGTTCATTTGCAGAACGTCACCAAATCATGTGTACAGCTTTATGTTGTATCGTATGACACTGTGACAGTTTAATACCGAAAGTTCAAAAACAAGGACTAGGACATTCAAGAAGCAGAGCGCTCTGGCCGGTCTCCTGATGTTGATGAGACCTGCTTGCGAAGAACTTGTGGAAGATCAGCATGCAACCACGCGAGAGTTCGCTAAAGAGTTAGACGTTAGTGCAATCTTCATTAGTCGCCCTAAGCGTCCATAAACTTGACGTACAAATTCAATCGCTGGGTGACACATGAGCTGACGATAAGGGCAGATGTGTTCGGGCCTACGCTAATCTGCTCGAATATCAACGCAAGCACAAAATTCTGGACGAGATCGTAACTTGTGATGAAAAGTGGATTTACTTCAACAACACAGGCCGAAGAGAGAGTTAGTCTGCTCCCGGTGATCCCGTCAGCAGCATCAAAGCGCAATTAAACTGACAAAAAGATCATGCTTTGTATCTTGTGAGATTGCCGTGGTTATTATCCACAAAGAGTATCTGGAAAAAAGTAAAACCCTCGACAGTGAGATGCTAGTCCGTGTTGATGCTGCTATCAAGGAAAAACGATGAACTGAGTTCTGACGCAAAAAAGGTGAAGATCCTTTAAGATAATGCAAGACTACATGTGTTTGCATTCACCGGCTGGACTCTGTACGGACTCGAATGGGATCTTTTCACACACACGCCATATAGCCGCCATCGCTGCTTCGGACCTCTACCTTTTTTCACAACCTGCAGCTATATGTTGCTGGTGCTATCTTCCATTCTGCACAGGGCGTCCGAAACGAAGTTGATCTGTGTTTAGACTGACGGCCAACAAGTTCCTGCAATGAAGGCTTTGAAAAAACTACGAAAACATTGGCAGAAAATCGTATATTTGGGTGATTACCACACTAAAGGTACTGTTTTCATGTTCCCCCCTAACTTTATAAAGACTGTTTTTTGGCGGAAAACTTTCGCCAGTTTTCTACATATTAAAAAATATGTAGAAAATTGTTTGGCATATGTTGTTTTGCAACAGAAAAGATCCCTAATTTACTTCATTAATCATTAAACTTGAAGGAACAATTTATCGTATCAGAAAATGTATTAAATTTTTATGTTGAATATATAGCTTTGCTGGAATCCAGGTTCCAAATATTAATCCGGTTACCACTTTGCCCGTATAGTGCTGCTTGGTTTGACCGATGCGAAATATTGCCTTTTCCGAGTATTACATATTGCGCTTCCCGATATTTCTTAAAATAATATGTGCATAATTATGCGTCTAGTGAGAGTGCAAATCAGAATATCCTGAAATAAATTTTTCTCTAAAGGAATCGAGAACGAGGCGATTTAATAAAAATTGTATTTTTAGCGAGGAAAGTCTTTTTCAATTTTGAACTATTAGTATATCTGAAAAAAAAAAATAATAAGTTCAAATCTGGCGATCTGAAAATTTAGCTGCGTAATAAATGCTATATAGATTCATATTAAAAAGTGCATAGAAGAATTATTTTAGAATGGATATTTAGCTGTACAGTGCTGTTTTGTAACTTTTTGAAATTTCAATATGCTGCCCAGTTTTGGTAGCAAGCTGGTTTAGAGATTAAATAATTTCATTTCAGCACCTAATTTCAACTGACATGATTCATTTTAAATGAATAAAGTAAACTCCACTTTCAAACCATTCTGAAATTCAAGGTTGGTCGGGACTTTCCTTGTAAATCAACAGGCGTTGGAAACTGTGGATTCATTGAGACAGTTGCTTTGAAGCTATAAATTGTAGTTTCCATTAAACTTCTAAAAACTGGCAGTTATCCGAGATCAAAGTTAATTTTTCAAAAAAGTCATAAATTTTAGAATTTTTTTTAATTAGATTAGATCGTTTGATCACGACAAAGCAATGGAGAACTTTCTGCCTAAAGGGAGAATGGCTTTTGTGGAGGACTTTCTAACGAAAGCTGGCTCGTACTCACGTTACACGTGGGCAAAATGACAACGAAACACCCATGCAACCAGTGCGTTCTCCTGTGTTCGAACCCGGATCGAACTCTCAGTTTTCAGTGGTCTTAACCACTCGGCCTCTTGTAGGGGGGGGCGTTTAAATAATTTCATAAGTTCAAATATGTGTAATATGGTTTCAATTTACATATATATGTATACATGCTATCATATGTGTTTACATGTTTATACATTGCCTATTATATTTCGCACTGTTGTTTTTTTAATTGCTTTTTGCTTATATGATTTTTTGATTTGATTTAAATGCATAAAAATATTTCTTGAAGCTGACCCTTAAGTGTATCAAGTTTATTTATTTCGTGAGGCTTTATCTATGGTTATAGCTGCCGTCATCTAATTAGATGTTTCCCTAACGTTTTTGTTTGGCGAAAAAACGTTAGAGAAACATCTAATTAAATGACGACAGCTATAACCATTTGCAAATGAAGCCTTATTAACAGAAAAGTACCCAAGTTAATTAACTATATGTTTTTTACTGTTGTTTCTGTGAAACAAATAACTGATAGCTATGTTTTTTTGTTCCAGATTGCGAATTCACACCCTTCATGCATTTCTTTATATGATACAAGTCACAATGGGATATTTCCTAATGCTCATCATAATGAGCTACAATGCATGGCTGGCCATCACAGTATTTGCCGCAGCCGGCTTTAGTTACTACTTCTACAGTACTTTTGTGTTGTACAGGCCTTCAGTTGTACCCATCGAAATTCTTTCACCTGAAGAATACGAATAGACTGGCAAATCTGTCATATATTGCGTTATATTTTTGTTGTTCTATTTATGTAATGTAAGATATATATATATATATTTGTTATGTTGTGTGTGCTCATTCAGTGCGTGTAAGAATCGTCAGGGGGAAAAAATGCTTCTTTGAACTTTGTAAATAAAATTTATAGCATTTTATAGGTCACGTTGGAAGAAGACTATGTTCATATGAAATAAAATTTTGAAAGACTATTTTCAGTATTAAACCTTTTCTCTTCTTCTGGATTTGTATTGTATCTGGCTAGTGATGAAACAGATGAAGTGATTTTTTTTTCTGCGGAATCGCGGGAAAATTATATCATTTTTCACAATTTGCATTCTCTTGAAAAAATTTTTAATATTTCTTAAAAGAAAAATCTATAAAAATTCATTTGTTGTGATTTTCTGTAGCACTTTGCAGGATGTGGAATCCGGGGTAGCTAATTAAAGAAATAGGAATGTGTAAGAACAAGAGAACTAGTCTAGACAGAGTTTGCAATTAGAATAATAGTAATCTGCTACTTGTATATGAGTTTTAAGTAAAAAAAAAAATAATAATTACTTTTAATTTTGATTTTTTTTCTACATTCGAGAAAATCTGTAGAACATGAGAAATTATTCTTTAATTTCTAGGAGTTTACGGTATCAGATAATTTAACTGTAGCTTAGATATATGTTTGTGAACAGGATTTACGTCTGGAATAACAGTAGTGCGCTATTTGAACTTTCAGTAATAAGTAAAGTATTTTTTAATACTGCTTTTTTCCTACATTCAACAAAAATGTATAAAACGCGAGAAATTATTCTTTAATGCATAGAAATTTACGACATCAAATAGTTCAACTGTAGTTGTAGATAACTGTAAAGAAATAGAAGTGTTTAAAGCAAAGAACTGGGCTAGACAGAATTTGCAACTAGAGTAATAATGTGATATTTGAGTTTAAATTAAAAAACAAATTATATTCTAATCTGATTTTTTCTACATTGATGGAAAATATATGAAACAAGAAAAAGTCACTCTAAGTCGTGGGAATTTACGGTTATCAGATAATTAAACTGTAGTTGTAGATATATACTTATGAATATCCTGACTACATTACTGTTCTTTTTATTATTGTTATTATTATTATTTCCAATGGCATATTATGAACAGTTAAGCAAAAAAACAAGAACAAAGACCATGAATACAGCAACACAATATAAAAAAGCTGTAACAGCGTCCATTAATCTAACATATCTCTTGCCTCCCAGTAACGCTCGGCGAGAAAAGTCTTGCGCAGAGCAGGACAGTGGAGTAGATGCGCGGCGTCCATCACCTCTCCAGAGCTGCACAGAGTACATATCGGAGAAGGAACAATATTGAATCTATGGAGATGATACCGTAGGCAGTCATGTCCGGTGGCAAGGAGGAATTCAGCGACCGCTCTACGCCTTGAGCCATTACACAAATTAGGGATAGCATTCTTCCAAGACTTTAATTCACTTGGTTCTGGTTCATTCATTAAACCTTCATTGATTCTGGTTCATTCATTAAACCAAGTGAAACACGATGATAGAGAGCTTCCTGAGTACTTTGAAAAATCTTTTAATAAGATCCGTAACAGTATGGAAAGGCAAAGGACGAGAAATAGTCTGCATGATTAAAGCACCCTTTTTTGCCAGGAAGTCGGCTTTCTCGTTACCTGGAACCCCACAGTGGGCAAGAACCCACTGGAGGACTATAGTTTTCTCAAGTGATGCCCGGTTTTTTAGATAATGTCGACAATCCAATATGTCTTGTGATATGGGATTTTTATCTGAAACGATAGCCAACAGAGCAGCTCGGGAATCACTGAGGCTCTTGTGAATTTTTCCAAGTGGCAGTTGGTACAGAGCTGTGCGAATCGCAGCAATTTCACCGTCAAACGCGGAAAATCGGCCCACAAATGTAGGATGTAGATGTTCACAAACATATAACTACAGCCACAGTTAAATTATCTGATACCGTAAACTCCTAGAAATTAAAGAATAATTTCTCATGTTCTATAGATTTTCTCGAATGTAGGATGTAGAAATTCTCGAATGTACAGGAAATTCTCGAATGTAGGATGTAGAAAGAGAACTTTCGGAGAAAACTTCGGCACCTGCATTAGAACCATCAGACAGGAGGGATCCATCAATAAAGATCCGAAGCCACCCTGGTTCAGGGTAAAAAATGTTTAATGCTTCGATAGCAAGGCCTCTCAAAATAGAGGGAGCCGTATTACTTTTGGTTACTTTTTGACCCAGGTCAAAATTAATCGAGAAGATTTCAAATTTATTGGATTTTGTAGTGGAACAAGTGATTCTGGTTCATTCATTAAACCAAGTGAATTTTTTAACTGAAAAATTCCCTGTAGAAAGCCCATCTGGGTCTTTAGATTTCTAGTCAGATCTTGATTGACTTCATTCCAGAATGAAAGACATCCGGAAACTCTAATGATCTTTTCCCAGAGAATACTACTTTGACTACATTGCTTACGAGTCGGACTTTGACTACATTGCTTACGAGTACGGATTTCCTATTTTAGAAATGGAAGCCAAAAAATGTGACATTTACAAGTATGAATGATTAAATAGGATATTGTTTATGAAATTGTGTTGGGGGGAATAAAAACTAGTTCTGAGCTCTAAGCTTATTTATTATAGCGAATATATGGAACGTATTGTTGCTGTTATTAATAAATATAAGATCAACTCGAATGTCGGTTTTATAAAGGAATGTTTTGAAAACAAAATTCTATTAAAAAAAGTATGGGCTTAAAATGTCTTTCGTTTCTAAATTCTCTCCAAAAATTTATGGAATTGATTCAGAATTTATAAAAGTTCAAATTATACATTCTCTGATGTCCTTGCGTCGATCAGAAAAATCGAAGTGCCAAAAATTATATTTATTTTGTTAGACAGAATGTATTTTGACAAACTTGAGAGGCAAACTTGACAAAAGTGCAACATGATATTGATGATAATAGTAGAGAATATTTTAAATAAACTAACTCTACACATACTTTCCAATGCAACAAATGAATTTAAGCAAAAATTTTCAATTTATTTTGGCCATCTGTAACCCCAAGCACTCCTGCCTCAATTTTTGAAGCCAAACTTATTATTGGAAAGCTTCTCTAAAATATCATTTTTAAAGGGCATTCTAAAAGATGTATACCATCATTTCCATAAACAACAACTTATAGTGGTTAGTCAAGGTACTCTTGTTGATGTCATACACACTCTGAGTTAATAACACGCCGAATAACAATTATTGGGGGGGGGTGTTCAGGCAATATGAATCGGTGTAATATTTATAAATTTGCAGGACTAGTTTCGAAAGTTTAAACATAGGTGCTTCTTCAGCTGTAGAAGTGCAAATGACGAAAGAGAAGCCTGTGCTTAGGCGATAACAATGGGAGGAAGGAAGTTAAGCTAATGGCGCCATCTACACATGAAGTAGCGTGTTGCGCTGTCCTATACTGGTGACTATTAAAAAAAAAAAAAAAAGTACTAGCGGCCTTCGTTTTCACCAGTGTCTGTCGTTACGGTCATCAGTGACCGCCTGCTTTGATGAGCACTAACTCCTTATCAATTAAGTACCCCTAATTCACTGGCACATCGGTGTTATTGCATTACATTCAGAAAGGATAAAATTTTTGATTTCGAAAATAATAATTAACATTTTCAATAAAAGTAGTTTTGCTGTACAGCAAGAATACAACGTTGCTGTACAGCAAAACGTAACTCCGAGATTTGTTAGTACATAAAATATTTTGATTTGATGTCTTTGGTCTAAGACATAATTTTGCTAAAATTTAAAATTTCAAACTGACGTACTTCTTTCCCGCATAATTATAATTTCTCATAAATGTAACAGTTTCAAATTTTGGTTTTGCGAAGCTGGACTTTAAGCCTTCCTGAGGAAAGTCTACCCTTTTTTTGCAGCTGGTAAGGAATGAATAATGTAATTTGTGCCATATTCATATGCCTATTTTGTTCTTTTGGCATAAAAAACTCATATTTCCCGTCTCAGTTATCTCAAATAGAATTTTCCTTTGCCTTATCTGGTTTATATATTTTATTGCAATTTACTATTTTTCGGAAAAGTTTTTGATCTTCAGACGTAAGAGAAGACGTTTAACTAAAAATAGGTTAGTAATCTGTATGTACACTGAACTTTTGCATAAGCGATAAGATAATGGATATTACCATAAGCGTTCTGTTTTTATCATTTTTCGTAAACAAATTTCCCCGCGTCCTTTATTTGTTTAAGATAAATATTTTAAGTGCAGATCAAGTATGCGAGTGTATTTTCTTATCGAATATAGAATCGGAATTCCATTAAAAGTTGCCAAATATTTGAAGTAGTCAAACATCATTTCTCTTTCTAAGAAACTGAACAAACTAACATTTTCAAGAAACTGACATTTTCATTTTAAATAAAATTACTAAACCTTACTTCTTTTTATACGCCTCTTTTTATTTTCTGAGCTGCTGACACTAAGTCGTAAAAATTCTTCTTTCATTACTTCCTTGTAAGAAATAAAGAAAGTATTATAATCTTGAAATAATTTTGGGTATCATATTTCAATGCAAATATTCATTTTGGCCATTCCCATATCCATTTGGATCCAATTTTTTGCGTGACGTCTGTATATACAGACAGAATAAAGGACTTTTTTTCTTTTTTTTTTTTTTTTCTTTTTTTTTTTTTCTTTTTTTTTCTTTTTTTTTTTTTTTTTACAAAACGGATTGTAAAATGGATTTAAAAGGGGATTTTTTCGTGACATATGTACGTATGTACGTACCTACCTGTATGTATCTCACGCAACTCAAAAACGATTTGCCGTAGAACATTGAAATTTTTTACATGGGACTGCTCTAACATGTAACTGAGTACCCTCCTTTTCTATTCCAATCGGCTGTACCAAATGTATGTATACCGATATCTTTACATGGCCTTTATCTTCGCTATCGTTGGTCGTAGCCATATATTTCCAAATACAGAAGTGTTTTAAAGTACGAATATATTCATGTTTTGGTAGTGTAAAATTTAAAAAAAAAAAAAAAATATGAAAGCTTTCAGATTTTATATTATGCCCATAGGAATGTTTGTTTGTTTTTTTTTTAGCCCAAAGGCCGTTAGCTCAGAAGAGCTATTAATTTCGTTCTGGCATTTTGCATCGATTTACTATAAACGGCGAATCATTTTTGAAGTAGT